AAAAAAAAAAAAAAAAAAAAAAAAAAAAAAAAAAGAAGAAAGGAAACACGCGCGTGAATTAATTTCGCTTGCCGAGGAGTTTCCGAGCGGAGAGTCTGGTTGAATGCACGCGCCGTTGGCTCCGCGAAATCGCCGCGACGAAACGACGCGAACGAAAGGCGGATTGAAGCCGACGGGGTTCGTCGGCGGTGCCACGCGAGCGTGTTCATAATTGAAAAGCAGAAAAAAAAATGAAAATTGAAAGTGCCCGGGCCATTACGGGCGCGCCGTAGCCTCGTCGTTCCGAGTTTTCTCTTTACACTTGGCAGCGGTTCAGCCCCGTGCGATCGCGTGAAAATGCAATCTACATTCGCGATCGATAACGTGCTCTTTAACGAATCCAGGCAGGCTCTTCGCTGGGCCATCCGCCATATTTTTGTCTGTCGGAGGGAATTCGTTTAAAAAGGTCTGGCAATATTTGAGATGTAGACGAACGAAACGAGGCGAGAAATAGTTTTCTTTCTCGTCGGTCGGTTCGTCGTGTTATTAATATCGCAATGGAATTATAAAGTCAGTGACTCGGTTATATTTGGATAGTTGAACACTTGAAACAATTGCTTGATTGAAGCTTGATAACTTTTCTAATATATAATTACCGCTGCATTTTCAAGTTTCATGTTAATTTTTGATAAATAGTTTCGATCGTTATAGATATACTTAAAGTCAATTGTGCAGAGTCAATTTTCAGCCGCCCAATTATTATTCTTCTTACTCTTTGCATTAATGTCTTTAAATATTATTATTATTTAATATTTGTCGATGATATACGTTGAGATTAGATTAAAGAGATTCGTTTGAATTAATTATATATAAGATTTGTCTTCTATTGATATCCATTGATCGTATACGTTAAGATTAAATTAAAGAAATTCATATAATATAAATTAATATGGGATCAATATGGGACCAGCTTCTGACCGTGTAACCCATTAATCCGACACTTTATTTGATAGATAATATTTTCCAACAAACGCGTGAAGTTAATTATACATGTAACTGACAATGTGTAAACATTGTCGACTGTTTCATCTCAAAGTCCATGAGATTCCTGTAGATCTATTCTTTCTACCACAAAACATTGATCTTAACATCTCTTCCTGAACGACGACGATTTCGTCGATAAAATCAGGTCACTTTCACTGCAAAACGGTTAATTTACGAGCAAAACTGGGTGCATACCAGCGTGGCCGGGGACAGGAGAACGGCGGGCAACGATGAGAAAGGAGAGAAAACCCGGCACAGAACGAGACGAAGGAGGACGAGAGGGCGCGTGTTGCGGCGTTCGCTTTCTTCTCGCTCGCGATCGAGCTAATTGACCGCGACGAAAGACCAACGTTTTACGATGCGTGCCTTTTCTCTAATTGTAAGAAAGAGGCCACGAGGTTACGCTCCGAGTTATGTGGAAGTTCATAAGTTCGAGGGGACGAAGCTCCGTTTATCGCTTAATCGCCGGTTTCGCCGCCGCCTTTTCGACACTTTAATCTATAATTACGTGCCCCTTTCATTAGCGATTTCGTCGCTTTATTCGATTACATCGGTAGTAAGAAAGTTTTCATGAAATGTCGCGAGGGATGTACGAACGAGAAGAGAATGAGAATCAATTGGCAAATGCGAGACGCAGAAGATAGTTGAATACACAGCTACGCTTCAATTTGATTCAAATTGTTTTTACTTGTGCTTTTTTTATACTTTGACACGCGTAATTTTATTAATTAGTTTGTCTGTATTGATCATCTGACTGCGAATCAGATTTTCGAAGGGGAAACCTAAAATTGGGCGCTGTATTACCATCACTTCCTCTATTGCAAAATTAATTTTTTCACATTTGACTCGGTTATGTTTGCTTTTGTTAAAAAATAATTCTACTACAATTGTAGAAATAATCGTCAAATAATTATTTGATGCAACATGGGTGTAAATTTACATTTGTCCATTTGGTTTAACGCCACATTCTCAAAATTCAACACACAAGTGGTTCAACACACAATATGACTCACATGAAAAAGCATTTTGCGGAAATTTTGCTTTTTATCCCTCTTACGATAAAAATAAAAAATACATTTTTCATTTGAGTTTGCTAAATATCCAGGAAACTTTTTATCGATTTATACCTCTTCGCCCGTCCACCAGAGAGAGATTCATACTCGAATTCATTGCAAAATATGCCTCGAAAAGATTCTGTCTGCGGAATCGTTGAGCTGCGACGGCTCGGTGGGTATACTTTAAACCGGAGCAAAAGTGTGGCACGCCGGAGAACGGAAACGAGGGAAGAAGAGAGTGGAGCGAGTGGGGTGCGTGGGAGGGTGGCAGAAACGGGACGTTCACACCGAGAATGAGACGTTCCGCTTCGTCTCTCTCTTTCTCTCTTTCTCTCTTTTTCTGTCGGGTGTTGCCTTGTGTCTCTCGGCTGTGCATCAAGACTCCGGATCGTGCAGCCAGAGGACCTTGGCGAAGGAAAATAAATAATAGCGAGCGGCCTTCGTAGCCGACCGTCGGGAGAAAAGTTAATTGCTCTCCATGCGGCCGCGGCTACCGCCGTTCGAAAATAATATCTCGTGATCGCCGTAATGCCACTGTTACACGAATGGTTTCCACGTCCATCAACTGCTGTTCTCGACAGTCGATTTCCCTCGTTTTTTTTTTTTTTTTTGCCGAATATCGAGAGTTTGACGGCGAGCGTCTCTGGAAACATTAATCCTTTATGTCCAATGTGACAATTATAATTTTATATATATATAATTTTTTTTAATTTTCCATATTTATAATGTTATATATTTTATAATTAATATAATATATATTTAAATATATAATATTAATATAATATATTATTAATAATATTAGTAATATTAAAAATTATAAATATTATTAATTATATTTATTATTAAATATTATATATTATAATTTGATTTTATATTAATATTATAATATAATAATATTGTATATTATAATTTGATTTTATTCTAGAGTCCGCTTTGCCTCGACGATAATTTTATCCCAGTAAGTTATCCATTATGGAAATAAATACGGACCACAAAGGATTAAGAAATTTTTTTCATAACTTTTTTTATGAAGATCAAAATTTTCTCTCGACTTCTTGAAACCTTCTTAAAATCTGTGTTTATCATTTTATTGAACTTTGAATTATAGGATCGAACGACAAAAATTCAAGAAAACGTTTCGTAGTTTAATTGTAGTTCAATGAAATGGCGAAAAACAGAATACGATTTGTGGGGATCACTTTAATGTAATAATCGCATTGAAGTAATACGATAATTATGTTGTTTTGATGCGTATATCGACGTTTGATATGCGACAGACTGGTTGTCGAGGGTTAACGGGACGACGACACGGAGTGTACTGAAACTTTTTCCCCCGATCGTTTTACTTGTTCCGCGACGATCGTTTTTCTCTTGTTGGTACGTGCAGCCGTGTAAGCTTCGTCATAAAGCTAAGGGAGCAAGAACCTATTCAACGCACTTCGAAGGTCGTGTCGAATGCAACTACACGAAGCCATCAGCGATCCCAGAATTATTGTTTCGCCGATGTACGTCGCTCTAATTAAAGAGTGTCGTAAATAACCGAGAGATTGAAAGAGAATTTCCCGTGAATTCTGCGCGATTGACACGGTTTCCGCGCCGTTTGCCTATGAAATTGACTGTTTCGCGTTTTTAAGGAAAATTTCATCGAAAACATTCAGTTATACAAAACATAAACGTCAAACGAGAAAATTTTATTCTCTCATAATTTTCGGTCGCACCCTGTATTTTTACAAACATTTATCTTCCACATTCTTCCTCTCATTTTTTAGTTATTCCTTTTCTATCTCTTCAATCGCAGAAAAAGACCGCAGTGAACCGTGAAATTTGTGTCCTTTTTTTTTTTTTATTATCAGAAAAGGCAAATGCTGTTACGGAGATTGAGCAAACGTCGATGAGAAAAGCAATGTATAACACACGTGCACGCGGAACAACAGTTATCTCTTGTAGTTATTCTTTCATTTTCCGTGCAGATTCCTTTTTTTTCTCTTTCTCGAACACTCGATGCAAAACATTGAAACGTACAGTGACTCACAAAAGTATTTATACCTCTTCATACTTTTTACGAACATAATAAATGTTGTTACACGTCTGATGGTCGGAGTCTCCGTTTAATTTGTGTCGAATTGGTAAATAGAAGTAAATTTTCCTGAACGTAACGATATAAGAAAGAATTACGCAAATCGTCGAGTAATAAAATCAACACGTTGTCAATTTAAAATCAGATGAAATATAATTGTCACTGTAGCGTACTGCAGACACCGAGATGTGTCTTAAAAATTTTCACCAATAAAATCACGTCGTGTTACACTATTGATAAAATTTCAAAATATCTTACACGACGCACGATGCATGTTCATAAAGAAGTTCGTACACGATCGCTCGAGTACTTTTGTGAGCAACCATATTTTCAAATTAGATCGCATCTCACTGCGCTAAGTGGCGAAGTTTCCAAATGTTTGAACAACAATGAAACATGTGATATAAACAATATACGAACACTTCAAACGGAATTTGGTCGCCGGTGTTACTTCGGCCGAGCCGGTCGGTGATTTATGTCGAGTTCATCGGATCGCAAAAAGCAACGATGTGTCGGCTGTGTATTCAGAGGGAATTGAAACGGTAAATCGTACTCGGAAAGTTACGGATCGAAGCGCATCCACTATTATATTGCAACGAATGCGACCTCTTCGTTGCCGCTTTTTACGTGACTGTCGGTTTTTTTCTAGAGTGGAAGGCTAAATTTCAAGGTAGCTCGCGTTCGCCAAGGGGAATTTGACCTGCGATCGGTGCCAATCGTTACGCGCGATCCGTTACCTCGAACGGCATTGCTAGGAAAATTCAGCTTTCGTCGAGATGAAAGTCGTGCCGTAGAGATTGGATTTTAACATTCGAGATAAAGGTAATCGAAATTGACACGATTGGCGTGCCATTTAATTTATTAAAATTAAAATCCTGCAACGTCTAATTTTAAACACCAAGTCGATGTATAGTATCTCGGAGACTAACTTTGGGGGAATTGGATTGAATTCCAGGTGGAAGGATGTTTAAGCGGCTGTCGAAGTCGAGGCGCCACAGCGCGGACGACGTGGCCCTTTCGTTGTCGAGCCCGACGACCCTGGACGAACCGCCGGGGACGTCGATGCCGCGGGACAACTGTCAGAGCATCAGTCCGGCCGCCCTGCTGAGGGTTTCGAGGACGAAGTACACGAGGAGGAGCTGCGGGGACGCGAGCGCCATGCAGGCGTTGCTCGCCACCAAGCAGGAACAGGAGCAGGACGTCGCCGAGGCCGATTATCAAATGGTCACGGCCGTTCCTGCCTTCATCGTCGAGCACGAGCCCGAGAAACAGCGTGGTAGGTACATCGCCGTGTAATAAGCGGACTGCGGATATTTATGCAAATTTGGATCTCGCGCGAGTTGGATAGAGGAGAAGACGATCCTAGAAAATTGTGGTAAATTGTCTTAGTTCTTCGACATCGAAGTTTGGATAAAAGATTATCTAAAATTTATGCAAGATATTAAAATATTTGTATAATATTTTATTTTGCATACGTTGATTCGTATTTCTGTAAATTGGACAGTGAAAGTAAAGTCTAAATAGAAAGTTGTTTCATTCAATATTACAGAATAAGATAATCGTACCATGGAATGAAACTAATGGATAAAATATTAAATGTTGCGTCAAATTTATGTAATGTAATTAAAATTTTATAGATAAATATAAAGGGGAAGAAGAATCTGAATAGAAAGTTGTTTGATTTATGAAATTTAAATATTTCATATAATATTATTTATATCTTTGCGAATAGAATTGAAAATTCTTATACATTAAATAGTTCAGAGGTTTCGTATAATGTATCCTGAATAGATTATGGTAGGGAATTACTTCACTTATTAAATATTACAACATCGTACGAATATTTCATAGAGTTTCCATGTTACACGGACCTTCAGTTTCCCATAAATGCATAAATATCCGCAATCTGATACTTCCATTATTATTATTAAAAATTGACGTACTATTATTTACGTGTATCCTTTCGGATTCTCGCATTTAAGCTCCAGCTTTATCGAGTTAACGGTGTTAGGTAAATTGAGATGAATTTGAAATTGTAATGGGATATTATATCTAGCCGTCTAAAGTGGCTTTGAAAGGACAATTGCGCTTGAATATGGGATAATATCTATTCTCGCGTGTCACTCTGTGCACAGCGTGGCATTAGTCGGTGATTCTATATTAAAATAAATTGAAATAGCGCGTACGTATTTGTGTTATACTAATTTTCAGCACTACATAATATTTTCACTTCAAATATAATATACTTTACGTAATATGTCCCCCATATTTTATATCACTAGTTGTCGTTCTCAACAGTTCATATTTTTATTCCACGTCATATATTTTATATCCCCTATCTCTTGTTCTACGTATATATTACATTCAGTATCTTTAACAGATATCTTATCCCATATATCATATTCTACAGTCTGTTTCCTAATGACATATCAATTTTGTTAAGTTCCCTATACTTTACACCTTTCGAATGTAAAGTAGATTTAGAATATGGCGCCCATATTTCTCACAAACGAAATTTGCTGTCCCATAAATTTCCCACAGAGATCATTCGCGGGCACCTCGGGGAATTTGCAGAGAATTTCGTAAACCCGCAAATTTCCCAAAACGAAATGAATGAAAATTCTTCCACGTTCCTTATCAGTCCGAGTACGGAAGGCTGTATCGCCATCGTTCGATCGATTTTCCGATAGTCGGGAAGAGATCGAGTCGGGTCGGGTTTTCCGAAAATTTCGAGATTCCCAAAAATTCCAAGAACCGTTTCTCGAACTACTCTGCAGTGCTGTATAACAGCCTACAAAATATGTAAATATACAGTTTAATTTCTTCTGCCAGCGAAATTATTAGAAACACGGATTCGAAGAATCGTGTGACTTGATGTATACAAACGTATGACTGCGTGCTTAGTACTTGAGACATTATGTACGCTGTTGAGCAGTATCGCTGAGAAATTCGGGCAGCTCAGACGTATATTTCAAAATCTGTGTAAATTTAATAAAGAATTAAAAATCTCTCAAAAAAATGTCGAATGATAGTGAGAGTAAAGCTGTGGTAGCAGGAAGTAGTGCAGAAGATATCGTATAAAGGAAGAAGACAAAGAGAAGCTCTGTTTGGGAACATTTTCAGGAAAAAGATGATACAAAGGGGGAATGCGTACGTTGTCACCATGAATTTAAAACTAAGTATGCAAATATGGTTTATTACGCCATTTGAAGCTTATGTATCCAAACGTAAGTACATGTACTAGAAAAGAAACTGAATCGATGTAAAATTTGTGGTATGTAGAAAATGTTACGCGAAAGATTGTTAAACCAAAAGATATAACAGAAGGAGTTGCTCGAATAATGGTTCTAGATCTGCGATCTTTCGATATAGTTGAAGGCGTGAACTTCAATTTTCGGACGAGGCTGCAGTTCTCCGACTTGACACACTGACAACGAAATTTGGAAACTTTACAGCAGTAACAATAGAAGTAACAACGAACGAAAGAAGAGCAGAGATGAGATGTCCCTAATTTCGTTTCAAGTTAAATAAACGTGTCTTTGTACAAAATGCGCTCACAGTGAATTTACAAATGTTAACTATCTTATAATTAACTAAAGCTAAACGCACGCAACTTAAAGCTAAGACGCACGCATCCCAAGATGTCCCTGTGAAATCACTCGTCGTCCATCGGTGGCCCGCTGGGGGCCCAATAGTTTACTCATCAACTAGTTGTACCTACAGTTTCACTTTAGATCGTGAAATGAAGAAAGGAAAGAAATTTTCACGGTCTAAACTAAACTGTAGGTTTATACGTAGTTCTTAGCTTGATATCGTTTTACAAGCATTAAAGTTTGTAAAACTTTAATGTTTGTAAAAAGGTATCAATTACCAGGTCTCACCACGAGGAGGTGACTACGCACGAGACCCACCCGAGCCCTAATCCCAACCACCCTCCATTACATGCAAATAACTCGGCATTCTTAAGGAATGCTGAGTCTTTATTCTAGTTGGCCCGAGATTAAACAAAAAAGAGACAGACGGTCGATAGTTCAACCTCAAACTTACGTCTAAATCTTAACTCTAAAGCGCATGTATGAGATTGAACTATGGAACTCTGTCTCCCAAACGACGATCGCGTTAACAATCATACAATACATACAATCATATAATCATACATTACATACAATCGTACATTACATCCATTACGTACAATCGTAAATTACATACGTTACATACAATCACACGTTACATACGAATGCTAATACAATATATCGCAATTACTCGCAGCCTTTCATACTAACCAAACACTCGTCTAACAGTGAAAGTCGCACAATAATTGTACAATAATTCGCAGTCCTAATAGCGCATTTTGTATTACAGACACGTTCATCGAACTTTGAACGAAATCAGGAGAACGAAACTATTAACACGCTTTAATATCGTGTTTTGCAAGGGATATAACGCGAAATGAAACCGCGGTTTGTTACTGTCATTGTACTAGAGTAGAGTTTCCAACTTTCGCTGTCAGTGTATCAAATCGGAGCTCGAGCACTTAGAGGCAAGTAGTTTCGCGCTACCCCCAACGACACAGTGGGATTCCGAAGAACCACTGAGCCGGATTACAAAAGGACGCTAGACTACAAGAACCTACCACGTCCATTCGGACGAGGCTGCAGTCCCCCGATTTGACACACTGGACAATGAAAGTTGAAAAATCTACTCTAGTGCAATGACAGTAACTAATGTAACTTTACTCTTGTGCAACGACAATAACTAAAGTAACTCTATTCTAGTGCAATGACAGTAACAAAACTATCTCTACTCTAGTGCAATAACAGTAACAATAGTAACAACGAACGAAAAAAGGGAGGAGAAGTGTTTAATAAACGTGTCTTTGTACAGAATGCGCTCACAGTGAATTTACACATATTAACTATCTTATGATTAACTAAAACTAAACGCACGCAACTTAAAGCTAAGACACACACATCCCACGATGTCCCTGTGACATCCCTCGTTGTCCCAGATATTAACTACCTTATAATTAACTAAAACTAAACGCACGAAACTTAAAACTAAACGCACGCAACTTAAGTCTAAGACGCACGCAACTTAAAACTAAACGCACCCAATATAAGTCTAAGACGCACGCATCCCACGATGTCCATGCGTGATCCCTCGTCGTCCATCGGTGGCCCGCTGGGGGCCCAATAGTTTACTTATCAACTAATTGTACCTACAGTTCAGT